GGGCATGAATCTGAAGCAGATCCCTAGGGAATAATGAATGCAGTTTATATGATGGGAAAATGTATAGAGTCATTAATTCATATTATGCTGGCTTGTTATTCTATAAACTACTACAAAAACAAATTCTCCAGTCACCACTCTTATTTTAGCATGACAGCAAGATATTAGCATGGTAGCTGGGGTTCAAAAGTTACCAATAAACCTGAATTGAGAAATAATTTTGAAAGCACACTAACAAAAGGCAGTGGAGAGTGAAAATTCAAATGTGGCAGGACATTATCCAATAAGACATCCATTGTCTTTGCTCCCTGCCAAAATGGTGCGTGAATTGCTGATGCAAAGCCCATGACCTCTGTGGTAGAACTGAGCTTACACCAAAAGTTGGCAGCTCAGCATTTCCTTTCCTTGTTCTTTTTAAAACCCCATACCACAGAGGGCACAAGGTAACACATTTTACTGCTAAATATGATTTAAGCCTATTGGAATACTGCCCACTCAAAAGAGTCACCCTGGAAACTCACCTGTGGTTTCTACTTACTAACAGTTCTCTTCTCAAAATCCTCCTCTTGAAGAATTTTATGCTCTGATTACAGGTAGAGGAGGACCATTTTGAAGGACATTTTACTTTTAAGTGGCAATTCCAAACTTAACATAAATTCTATGCATTGCTTTTATTATTGTTGTTTTTGGATTTTTGGACACCCACCTGGAATGTGGGGAGAAAGCAGTCACCCAACACTGTTGCATTCTGTGCTTTCCACCTGCTGAGATAGCTCAGAAGTCACCGCCACCGCCAAGCCAGATAATGGTGGTGAGAGGTACCTCCCCTAAGGGTATCACATCATCTTGGGTTCAGTCTGCAATAGTTTCCATATCTGATCACTCCAGTTCATACTGTTCTGTGCAATGCAGTCAAGTAAACTTTTAGCACAAACTAATGCCTCCCCATAGCTCTCATTCCTTATCCACAACATGCTGTTTCTACTATGAGTTCTATAGACAAAAACCATGAAGGATCTGGTGATTGAGAAGTTCAAGTTAGTGTGTGTCTGTTACACAGAGTATGAGTGAGACAGAAAAAAAGAGAGGAGGCAGAGAATAAAAAGAGACAGAACAGGGCAATGAGAGACTGAAGCAGGGAGAAATGGTCCTTGTGCCCAGCACATAAACAAATGGAAACTCCTTTTGTTCTTAGCAGCTTTGGGATAAGTGAATCATATTTTGCACATGCACCCTGACAAGTTACAGTCCACTGGTTCACAGAAGACTGGCCATCCTGTGAATTGCAGAGAACAATTCATTGTCTGCATGACCATCTACTACTTGCCTGCATGTTATCTGTGTCACATCAACTCAGCTTTTCCACAAATACTCTAAACATAAAATTCACAATAGGTTGCAGTGTAATTGAACAAATCAGAAATATTTTCTGATTAAAAGTTTTAGTTTTGAAAACACTAATGATTGTCTTTTTTAAAAACTGGAATTTAGACGCAGGTGATTTGATTTCATTCAAATCTTAGTTGTGGAAGCAGTATAGGAAAATAAAGGCTAACAAAAAAGAAAGTCTATGTCAAAAAGAAAAATTATAAAACCAAAACTACAAAGCATTAACCACAGCCTCAAGTGCTAGAGTAAAACTGCTACATGAATCTGGAATGATTAACCAAAGCAATTGCCATCAGTGTAAACTGTTACTTAATTCAATTTTCTATTTTAAGACGTCTGGATAACTCACTCCGCAGTTCATCAAAGGTCTGGAATGAGAGAGGAAAGAAACCAATGCAGTAGAAAGGCTGAATTTGTTTCAAGAGAGCAGGACTCTGGCTCCAGCTGGTAGTATTAAGACAGTTACTTAATTTTGGTTCAAGCTCTCTTTCTGTGTATGAAAACAAAAGTGATAGATGAGCTGATCCTGGAAACACGGTAATGAAGTAGACTGTAAAGACTACAATGGTAGGGTTTTGTAATTTTCTAGTAGGTCTTAAGGAAAAAAATGTCATTAAGCTAATTAAGACCACAGTAATCAAATAAGATTCACTCAAAATAGCACTACTGTGTTATTTGAATTTAAGATTTTTACCCATGACATTCCCTCTGAATAATGAATTTCAAAAGCCTAACTAGGGTAGACTTGCTCTCAAACAGTGCAGCCTCTGTTACAACAGAGCCTTCCACCGTGGTTAGGGTGGATGCTGGGAACACCCAGGGGTGGGATTAGCACACCCTACTGAAGAACTCAAGAAAGACCCTGGGTCTTCCATGAGCAATGCTTCAACACTGCACACACAATGACAGTGAGCAACTGACAAGAAACCATCGTGATCAATACTGAGAGAGTTACACTTTGGCAAGCAAAGCACCTTTCTTAACTAATTTCTGTAACTACTATTCATTAAAATGGGAAATGATACTAGATTATAATGCTCAATGCAAATCCTAAATTTGTTTTAATTTTTAAATTTCTTTTTATCAAACTAAAAAGTTCACCACATTGGAGCTTAGGACACATCCTAATCTATTATGCCAAGAAAATAAGACCAACAATTACATATTCAAATGAAACAACAAATAGTATTAAAATGGGAATTGATAAGGTGGTGAGATGTATCTTAAATAAATGAACAAACATTAAAGACTTGAGCACTAATTTGAAATTATGTTTTTGAAAGATCTGTAATTATTGCCTGTTCTGTATCTTGTCACTCCCTTTTGTTTTTCATATTTTGTAGTATTAAGAATTGAACCCAGGGTTCCATATATGTAAGGTAAGAACTCTACTACAGAGTCCATCCCTGGTCAATGGTTTGAATTCTAAATGTTTCTTAAGAATGTATGGGCTAGGGGCAGGAGAGATGGCTCAGCAGTTAAGAGCACTGGCTGCTCTTGCAGAGGACCTAGGTTCAGTTCCCAGCACTCACAACGTGGCTAATAATTTGTGTAATTCCAGTTCCAGGGGATTCACACCTTCTTCTGACCTCTGCAGGTACTGCATGACAGACATGGGTATACTCACATATATGTAGGTAATACAGTCATACACATAAAATAAAAAATAACAGGGCTGGAGAGTTGGCTCAGCAATTAAGAGCACTGACTGCTCTTGCAGAGGACCTGGGTTCAATTCCCAGCACCCATACAGCAGCTACAAACCATCCTTAACTCCAGTTCCAAGGGAATCTGAAGCCCTCTTCTGACCTCCGCAGCATTGCACGACATGGGTGCACCCACATACATGCAGGCAATATACTCGTACACATAAAACAAAAATAATAAATAAAATGTTTTAAAAATAAAAAATAACAATTAAAAAAAAAAAGAATGCATGGGCTAAAGGCTTAGCTGCTAACCTGTGGCAGTGTTGAGAGCTGGTGGAATCTTTAAGACGTAAGACACGGTGAGAAAAGTTAAGTCATTAGGGCAGGACCTTGAAGAGATTAGGATCGATCTCTCTCCCCGCCCCCTCCTTTCCAGCTACCATGAGATAAGCAGCCTTATTCTTTCGTATGCTCCCTACCAAGATATCTGGCTTGACCACAGACACAAAAGCAACAGACCCAGATGACCATGGACTACAACCTCTGAAACTGAGCCAACATAAATCCTTCTTCTGAGAAAACTGGCAACAGAAAACTGACTAATAGAGTCTATGACCCCCAAGTCAGTGTTCCAGCCCTGATTCCTCCTTTACCTCCACCTTATAGTGACATCTCTATCTAAATGTCCCCTATATACCTTTAAGTTCTGCCCTCATCAAAAATAATTTGCTTCCCCCTTAAATGTCCAGCATGTTATCATCATGCTCTTAGTCATCCCTTTCAGAAACACAAGTCTTAAGCCCTGTTATTTTCCCAATTCCCATGCCCAATCAGTTCTCAAACCCTGCATATTCTAGATCTTCAAATAACTCTCTTGCTCTGTTCCTTACTGCTTCTATTCAAATATATTCCTCCCATTTATTCCCCAGATTTTTCCAAAATTAATCTCCTTTCTTTTAGTTTTGCTCACTTCCATTTGATTCTCTTTACTTGGTCCAGAGTAACACACATAAAATGTCCACGATTTCCAGCTTGCCCCCGCCCCCTGCAAGTCTCTGTAATTCCTGCCCCAATCTCTCTCTCTCACACACACACACACACACACACACACACACACACACACACGCATACACGGGACTTGATTCTCTAGCCTTGCACAATTTGCCACTTTCACATGTGGGTTTCACAGCCTGACCCCACTGCTCCTGTCTGCAGTAACCTCCTCCACCCTCTGCTTTTTGCCTGGCTAATTTCTGCTCATAAGAGCAATTTCAGGGATTTTCTCCTCCAGGAACCTTGCTTTATCACATATCATCCTCTAACCTTGGGGTGCATTAGATACCTGTTACCTTCCTTAATGCACCCTCACTATACTTGTATGCTACTAGAGTTGCTCATCTTTATTTATGGGTCTATCGCTGCCATTTGACAGTCCTTAAAGGACTTATCTTTGCTTCCTGAGAACATAGCAAAGTTTATTGAACTGAATTGAGGATGTATGAAACTATAGAGGGAAACAGATTGAAAGGCATGAGAGTAATTTGGAGGGTTATAAATACTTGAAAATAATAACAATTGGTTTTTCTGAGTTTACAGCGGGCTTTCATATAAGTTATACCATTTGAGCCTCAGAAGGCCAAGGAGGGCATATATTAAGGCTGACAGACCTAAATCTTTAAGAATCTTCTCTGAGAAGAGAAATAGTATTTTTAAAGAAATGTGTGTGAGAGTGTGTATATATGCGCAAATAGGTCTTCACAGACAACACTCCTTCAAATACATTCCCATTTGGTTAAAATGACCAATTTATTTACTACTAAAAATTCTCCCCCCCAAAATCTCTTGTTTACAGAGAATTATCAGGAACTAGTTCCCCTATTTACTCTTTGAGAGGGTAGATTTTTGGAAGACAGTCCAGCTCATTTTGACTTCTAAGGATGACGAGAAGCCATCCGTTCTCACCTTCAGAAGGTTCACTGGTCCAGGAACATCCCGATGTTTCCCTAGTTTCTGGAACCCTCTTCTTCTCAGGATGATGTCAGTAGCTGAGAGCGGCCTGGTCAAAGCCTTCAGCAAACAGAGATACTGGTCAAGGACCACTCTCACAAGAATCCCTGAAAAGAAAACACAAGGACTATGTAATTTTTGTGTGACTGGTTAATTCTATTAAACTGAGTTTTCATTTTACTATCCTAGAAAACAAGGTGAACTTAATATGATTAACTTGAACCAAATATTATTGTACTTATGGACATCAATAAGTCTAAGAAACTTTAAGCAATCTAAGGGACACAGGTAATGAAAAAAGGTAACTTAATTCCAATTACATTTAGTGTAACAGAGAAATCCAAATTACTTCTAAATAGCAGGGAACACTGTTCTCACAAATCAAAAAGTTAAAAAAAAAAAAAAAGCACTTGATCGTATTTTTCTCTAATACTCCATGGGAATACACCGTGTTTTACAATCACAGCAACCCAGAAGCACGTCTGGGAAGAATCTAATACAGGCTGAAAAGAACAAACAATGAAGAACTTTGTGTTTGATCAAGGTTGACAATGTCAAAGAGGAACTCAAAAATGCAATTACATTTTAGAGGTGGCTTTGAAGGATGTGAGAAAAGAAGGCAACCGGGAATAAAGGGGGTGCTGAGCACAATGTTGTAAGAAAAAAGCATAAGGTTGAGGTAGAACTACATAAAATTAAACCTTAATTAAATGGAAGTTAGCAAACAGGAGTGCTTGGATAATGTGTTTATTTAATACGTCTCTTTTATGAGAAAAAAGAAAAATCACCAATAGGCTTGTTCAGAAAGCTTCTGTTTACCAGAACTTGAGACCAGACTTCAGGGAGACTAGGAGAAGCTGGGAGTTCTAGACCACCTCTATCACTAACAGAACGAGACCTGAGCTTGCTAAGTGCTCCTCCACCCTTGCCTGTACTTTAGCACTCTAGGTGAGCTTTAAGAAAAATACATACAGGTACTAGAGAGATGGTTCAGCAGTTAAGAGCACTTGTTGCTCTTGTAGAGGACCAGGGTTTGCTTTCCAGCACCCACATGGCAGCTCATAACTGTCTCTTACTCTAGTTCTAGGGCATCTGATGCCTTCTGGCCTCCATGAGCACTACACATACATGGTGAATTAAATACATGCAGGCAAAACACTTATACACATAAAAATAAATTTAAAAATACCATAGCTGGGTGTGGTGGCACACACCTTTAATCCCAGCACTTGAGAGACAGAGGCAGGTGGATCTCTGTGAGTTGAAGGCCAGCCTGGTCTACATAGTGAATTCCAGGACAGGGAGACCCTGTCTCAAAAAGACCAAAAAAAAAAAAAAAAACCTAAGGGGGTCTGGGGAGATGGCTCATGGGCAAAGCACTTTCCATTGCAAGCGTGAGGACCAGAGTTTGAACCTTCAGACCCTGCTGAAAGCCAGACACGGTAGTTCCTGTAATCCCAGTGCTCCCACAGTGAACTGGGAGGCAGAGGCGGGGACACTCCCTGAAGCTTGTGGGCCAGCTAGCCTGGTATACAGCCACAAACAGCAAAAGACTCTTGTCTAAAACAAGGTGAAGGCGAGGGTCCGCACCTGAGATTGTCCTCTGACCCTGCTATTTGTCTCTCCTGTGTCAACTCACGCCTACACTGAAAAGGAGAAACAGAAGCACTCTTGATGCTTTCAGATTTTTGTCTGTGTAAATAACTAATTCCTGTCATTTGTCAGGGAGTTAATGTTTTACAGAGTGATTTTTACGTCTTCCAAATTAGTAAAGGTTAAGTGCTGAGATTCAATTACACCATTTGGGCTCAGACAGTTATCAAAAGAGTCATCACGGAAATCTGCCCTAAATGACTCAGTCCATCTGATGTCTGAATGTAAATGTGGCATTGGAATCTCTGAAACATCATTTCCAATACATTTGTAGAATTTTCCTCACACATTCTTACACTTAATCTTCTATCATCTTAAAGAAGTATCCATGCTACAGTTTGCTGTTCCATTACATTTACATTTTGCAAATTATTTTTTGAAGAGTATAGCTACTGACTATAATAAAACTTAATTTATAAATATTTCATATATGAAATAAATTTTATTTAAGAACTTAATGCAAAAGCATTGCTGTCTCTGACACCTTCGGCATATTCTAATTATACCATATCAGAATTATCTTCAAGGCTCTTTTTGATATTAATGTAAAAAAGTGATTTTCATTAGACACCTCTGGAAATAAACAAAAGAATGGTAAGACAAAAAACCTCACAATTCTGGAAGGTGATAAGAGGCTGGAAAGAGTCTAACCACTGCTCTGTTATGTTCCATTCCATGTTTAGTGCATTCTACAAGGAGCTGAATCTCTTCACTTCGTTCCAATTCTGCCCCCAGGAGCCATGCCCAGATTCACATTCTAATACAATCATTCCAACCACAGCTAGAAAAAATGGGAGAAACTGTTGCTTTAGTAGAGGCACCCAAAGATGGGGTCATGGGTTCAGAAACACCTCAGAGGTAGGTAGATCACCCATGAAAGAGCGTTACACAATGTCTTTGTCCTACAAAGGTGACAATACAAGTCAATCAAACCAGGTTACTCCAGGATTTTGTTAGAATACTGAGGAGTCACAGGAGAACCTACTGAAAACAGGTATACAGAAAATCCAGGAGACCAGGGAAGCAGACAGACCCTGAGATTACCTCACCCCATCAACTTCCTACCTTCCAAATTTAAACAGGGAAACTGTGGACTGAGTCCCTTCTCCTTCACTACCATGAAGATTAGTATCTCCCTTACCTCTTCATAAGTCTTTCTGTTAGAATCAAGTTCTTAGGCCTTGCATCCATTATGCTAAAGGCATTTGGCATTCCAGTTCTGCTCTTACAAAACGGCTGTTAAACCTTTCATCTTCACATCTGTTTTAGTTTGTTTCTTCATTGCTGTGACAAAATACTCTGACCAATACCAACTTGGGAGGAAAGGGTTTATTCAGCTTACATCTCCCAGGTCGCAGTTCATCAGGGAGCCCAAGGTAGGAACTCAGGGCAGGAACCTGGAAGCCAGAGCTGGAGCACAGACCATGGAGGAACACTGTTTACTGGCTTGCTCCCCTGGTCCCTACTCAGCCTGCTTTCTTATGCAACACAGGCCCACCTGCCCAGGGCTGGCACCACCCACAGTGGGCTGGGCCCTCCCACACCACTCAACAATCAAGAAGGTGCCCCATGGACATGGCCACAGCCCAGTCCAATGAAGGCAATTCCCCAATTGAGGTTCCCTCAACCCAGGTGTGTCAAGCTGACACTAACGCTATCCAGCACAACATCATCCACAAATCAGAGAAGTGCTCTGTCTAGAATGGCATTCACGCTACCAAAACAGTGAACACCAACTCAATAATAAGCAAAAATAAATGCATTCTCTTATCTTGGTTACTAAAAATGAATAATTACCACTACTTCAAATCATCCTGATGGTATAAAATGCTACATAAACTGAGAGACTAAACAATTTGTTTGCTGGCTAAAGGTTTTAACACTTACTGATTAAAGTCCACGAAGCCCAGAAGAATGAGGGCTCAGCAACACTAGAGAAAATAAGGCCATAGTGAGATCATTGTCAGCATGAACTTCATGGTTACAGTAATTACCTGTGCAGTGGACCAAGAAGTTATGTTTGAGAAACATATTGCAAAAGCTGAGCCAGGTTAGCCTCAACCTTCCCTGAGGCAATCAAGGAAATTAGAAGAATCTGTCATTTTAGGTCATCTGGTATACCCCTGCCAAAGTGAAATTGTTTTCCTAAGATCTCAACTGAATTGTTTAATTTAGCTTTCAGTAAGCCTCGTGCGATCTCTTGTTATGGTAAAAGGCCCCAGAGTCTTTTTAAGTTCCCGTGTCTAGTTTTCTTAGTTTCTCTGTCTCTAGCATCGCTGTCAGCCTATTAAGCTACCGCTTCTCAACTGGCCAGTGTGCCTGCCCAGAGAAACCCAGCTCATCTCCCTGCTCTAACTGGAAACCTCTGGTCCTCCCAGGGCTGGTTGCCTGTGCTTTGGAGGGCCTGTTGGGCCTATCTATTAAGAAAACACATGAGCTGGGGAGACAGTCTGCTTGCTTGGCAAAGTGCTTGCTTTACTGTAGGACCTGAATTGGATCCCCAGAACTTACCTTTAAAAAAAAAAGCTGGGTTGGGGTTGGAGAGATGGATCAGTAGTTAAGAACACTGTTCTTGCAAAGGACCCACGTTTGGTACCCAGCACCCACAGAACAGCTAACAACCATCCATAACTCCAGTTTCAGGTGCTCCAATGCCCTCTTCTGGCCTTCCTGGATATTGCACACATGAGTACACTTACATACATGCAGGTAAAACACTTATACACATAAAATAAAAATAAATCAAGGAAAAAAAACTGGATGTGGTGGGACACATATGTAATCCCAGTACTAGGGAGATAGAGACAGGCAGATCCCTAGAGCTCACTGACCAGCCAACCTAGCCTCCTTGGTGAGTTCAAAGACACAGTGAGAGATTCTGTCTCAAAACCAAATAAACAAACAAACAAAATATGGGTGGGTGTTGCTCTAGTATGGTACCTGAGGTTGTCCTCTGACACCTACATGCTTGTGTAAACAGGTGCATGTGCACATAAACACACAGACACACATAAACAACCACACACATAATCTCCTCAAAAGAAAACACATGAACTTGTGTGTGGATTTCACATCATCAATGCTGATCAGGCGAGGCCTTCTTGGTATGCTTCTTTTTCTTCAGCTGTGTTGAATTATTAAACTATTTCTTCCATAACTCTTCCTGTAGATGTATAACTGCAAGATGCTGCAAGCCATACAAAATGTGTAGTTCACATTATCTTCAGCAGCTTCTGCCGAAAACAGAGATAAAATACTATTTTCTGTTCAACAGCGTTTTGATCCTCCATGAAAGGGGTGATCTCACTTAATACTGATAAAGAAGTGTCTTTCTCTACAGATTTAAAAAAAAATCTTTGTGGGCTGGAGAGATGACTCAGTAGTTAAGAGCGCTTACCATTCTTGAAGGGGACCCAGGTTCAGTTCCCAGAACCCACATGGTAGCTCACAACTA